TCTCTCTCTCTCTCTCTCTCTCTCTCTCTCTCTCTCTCTCTCTCTCTCTTTCTTTCTTGCAAGTCTACAACACAGGTGCAGACAGATATGTTGAAAAACAAAGGATGTTTTACTACCAAATTGTATTCTAAGAAGATACAGGTCCTAAGAATTGCCCCATAATAGAAGGGATATTAGATGTTTCAAAATAATCATCTCCTTAAGCCCATTTTGAACAGCATCAAGGCACATCAGAAGGTTCAGTATTCTGACAAGGTCAAGAAAAACGTTTCTCAATATGTCAGTCATGAACACTTTCAGCATCAAACTACCTTTAAACAGGGGTTGCCTAAGATAAAGAGAAAACACTAATATTTAGTATTTATAACAGTAGCAAATTATAGCTATGAAGTAACAATGAAAGTAATTTGATAGTTGGGGGGCGTGGTCACAGCAACATGAGGAACTATATTCAAGGGTCGGATCTTCAGGAAGGTTGAGAACACTGTTCTTGAATAAAGAAATCTGACTGATCTCACTAGTTCACTACTACCCACTCTTGTCTAAGCACAGAACCCTTTAATAAAGAGTTTCCAAAAGCAGGTAGTATTTACCTTACATAGCAGGCAGGGTCAGAACAGGAAAGCCATCTGTTACAGAGTTTCAGAGCTCCCAATGCGTTCATTCTGTACTACTGTTCCTAGTTTACAAGTACATCAAGCTCCATCCCATCCTGCTTCTATATACCTCTTTGCCTGGATCCCCGTGTTCCAAAACTTTGTAAAGTTCATCTCCACATTTCATCCAGGTCTGACTTAGAATTTCTCTTCCTCATAGATTTTTTTCATTAAAATTTATCCTAATCCTCCCCCCAAAACAATGGCTCGCTATAATTTCTCTTTAGTTTTAACGGGCTTACTGTACCTATCATTGTCTTCAGTTGTTTAAGTACTTGAGTACATGCACTTCCCCTTCAATACACAGTGTGATCGTCTGATGTGTCCTCCTAACAGTATCATACCCAGTGAGATGCCAAGTTGACATCTATTAAATGAATGAATGGATGACAGTTCATTTGGTGACAATTCCAAGAGGCAAATCTGTCTACTGCTGCCAATGTCCAGCTTAGGAGAACAGGGTGTTTCACAGCTTCCCACATTGAGCAGGTGATAAATTACTGAGCTGTACCTTGAGCTCATTAACGGTCCTCACTCCTACACTTTGTTTCACTTTATGAAATTAAGTATTGCAGTTTTTCATGGTCTACTAAAGAAACATGGTATGCGCAAAGCAGGGAACAGGTTGTGGTTTTCCTTTAATCACCAGAGGATACTTTCTTTCTAAGTCCTGATAGGATGAAAACCCAGGGGCCTTCTGTGAGTACAGAGTCAAATGTCCGAATTATAAGGCAGAGGTCAGACAGACAACTCAGGAGCTCCTAGCTTACAGAGTAAGCTGTTTTGTTCATGTGGCTCTTTTTCCCAGCACTGGAACAATGTGAGCAGTGCAATGTTTGTTATCAAAGCACATATGCTGACTCCAGAGTTCCAGCCTCTCCCAGATCTCCGTATCAGTACAGCATGATGTTACCCTAATAGCGCAATAGGGGATACAGAATGCCAACTTGTTCAGAAGTTTGTAAGGGTGTGACGAGACAACAAAGCTACATCAAAAGAGTCTGAGCCCCATATGACATGATTGCCCTTGTCTGACAATTTTAAAAACTAGATTTCCTCATGAAATGTGTAGCTCATTACTTCCTCAAAAATCTTCTCTGTTCCTCACAAGCTAAGTTGAGTAGTTGAGATGATTGAGCATACAGACCCTCTACTGCTTCCTAAAATCAAACTACTGGTGATGATCAGAACAGACATTATGAAGGTTCAGAGCATCCTTATGAAGATGCTCCTGGTCAAGCTTTATTTTTCCTTTTTTTCAGATTAAAAAAAAAGTGAAAAGAAATACCAGACATAGTAGTACATGTCTTCAATCACAGCACATGGGAGACAGAGGAAAATGAATCTTTGTGAGTTTGAGGCCAGGCTAGAGTACATAGTTAGCTCCAGGACAGCGAGAGCTACACAGGGAGACCCTGTCTTGATCCCCCACACACACTACAAAAGTTAAATAAATAAAAAACAAAATAAACAAATAAAAACATGTCAGGAAAACCAAAGACTTGCTGATCTGGATGCAAATCTAGCCGCCTGTATAGCTCTATAGCCTAAAACCAAGGTTTCATGGTGAGCATAGATAGATAAAGTTTTTGTACAGTGGGTTTTGCTGCTGTGAACAATATTTCAACTACTGTAAAAGTTCCAAGCCATTAAAGGTGCTGTGACCAGTTGCATTTCTCTATTTAGTCAACATCTGGTACAAGCCATTTTTCTTCATAATCCAAAGTATAACAGGCATTGCTTCTATCCATAGTAATGTTCTAGTTCAAACCCTAGAGTAAAGCTAGCTATGAAGACCTTGGGGTCACACATTGGAGTGGGAATGTAAACGAGTAATTTATTCCTGCCAGGCTCCAATCTTTCCAACTATAAACCAAATAACACTTAGTTCATAGGGTTATTGCAAGGATGAAGTGAGCTCATTTAGATATGCTCTCAGTGATTAATTACTAATGTTCCTGAGTGCCTGGGTACCTATAGCTTAAAGGGAAAGGTTATCAAAGCACAAAGGGGATTAGGTCATTTTTACTTGTATCCTTAAAGATTAGTAAACATTTGGGTGCCTGGGAGGCACCTACATCCTCCCAGGATCAAGTGGGAGAGAACGGTATGAGAGACAAGAAGGCAAAATGTCTGTGATGGAACTTATCTAGAGACATACAGGAATGCCTCCTATAGGACTAACTCTGACTTGAAGACTGCAAAATTCAGATTGGTTAAACAGTGAAGATAACATCCAGAGCAAGACATAAGCCATGGCTTCTGTACATTTTTCTTATGGATTTGTGAGTTACATTACAGTTCTGAAAGATGCTGCCTGACGCTGACACTGGGCCTCATGGCTCTGTGAAGTGGCATAAACTTGCAGGTACACTAAGGCTCCAATAAATAACATATTTGCTCAAGTCACACAATTTCTAGGTAACAAATACAGCAAGCTGTCTGTTTAACGTTTGCTAGTGTTGGTTGAGGCTTAGAATGTGCTGGGAATTTGCACATGCATGCAAATTATAAATGCATTTTATAAATTATCTGATTCAATCCCCCCCATGACTCTTGGAACTCTCCGCTCACTGAAGCGTTCAAGGGAAAGGATTTGAATCCAGGATCGTGAGCCCCTATTTCTTGTATTCTTCATAAGCCATAACCATGAGCAATGTAATAGCTTTTGCCTGACTCAGTGCTCTTTCTTCTCTTCAGGGTTTGCTTCCTGAAATTTTGGGAAGAGGCCTTTTAGCTGGAGTAGAGTTGGCTTGTGAGGAAACCCCTCTTATTATTAAAACCTTCTTATTTCTTCCTCCTCAGCTGTGTGCATTTTGCCTGTGAAGCCACGGACTGCCCAGAACTGGCTGTGGAGAATGCTTCTCTCAACTGTTCCAGCAGCCACCGCTACCATGGTGCCCAGTGCACTGTGAGCTGCCAGACAGGTTATGTGCTGCAGATACAGCGGGATGATGAGCTAATCAAAAGCCAGGTTTGTGAACATAGAGAGAAGAGCCCTCTTCCAGTCAGGGAAGGCTGGCAGGTGTGAAGTAGATTCTCTGCAGAATCCCCAGTACCTGTTACCACATAAGACAAATAAATAAAACTCTCTGTCTCTGTTTCTTTCTCTCTCCCTCTTAACCCTTCCCACCCTCTCCCTCTCCCTTTCTTTCCAGTTTTTTCTCATACATATGTATACACACAACACAATACACATATATGCATACACACACACACACACACACACACACATGCATGCATGTAGATTTACTATTATAAAGACTGAATCAACCACCCAGCCAACAAACAAATCAGCTGGGACTTTCTAAGAAGAGGGCTTCTGTCCAAGAAGTATTATTACTGGCAGCATATGTCAGTGTTGTTGCAGAGGATACAGATCTATGATCTAGGTATGAGATCATATTAGAATGAGATGCTGACTCTCAAACTTTCAAATAAGGGAATGAGCTGTTTTAAGTAGATGGGTGTTCTCAGTCCATGAGTGCCTGTTCATTCATTCATTCATTCATTCATTCCAAAGCATGAGTTCATCATAAATCAGAGACTGTGCTAAGTCCTGGAGAAATGAAGTCCTTAAGTGTGAACTGTTTCTTAGTGACTAGCAGAAAGTGTGGAGACAGAGAGAGACACAAGGTTTTACAGGAATATGGGGGAAGGGTGCTTAAGGAAAATGTCCTGAAGAAAGTGACATACGAACTGAGAAGTGATTTGATGGACAGAAGTGTGTCTGCAGGATACAAGCAAGAAAAGTATGCTCTGGTACTGGCAGCAGAATATATGCAGAAACCTGTTAGTACTGTAAGTGTGCCACATATGGAGACTGGCTTTTCTTCTATGAAAATCATGCAAGTCATGAGGCTAGAGGGTCAAACAGAGTCCACAGGTGCCAGATCCTGCCAGTGTAGTTGGGAAGTTTAAAGTTGTTATGGCAGCAAGAAGCTGTGGAAGGACATGGCATGATTAAATTCTGATAAACAAAGGCCTCATTTGGCTGCCCACGTAGGGGTGGCATGGAATGTAAACAGTGAGACAGATAACAGACAGAACCATGGGGACATTATTGATGGAACCCCTGTAAGTTGGGATCTGTCCTGCATGAAACTGTTGGTAGTGAGTAGAGGTAAGCTACATGGAAAGCCTTGCTTCAGTCAGATGTTGCTCTGGGAGTCTTGGGTCCAAAGAGGGACAAGTTTAGCAGTCCCAAGCTTTGAGAATTCCAGAACTGTCTCTAGATGCAGCTTTTCCACAGCCACACCAGTAGATCAGTAGAGTATTTGCACTGCTAGTACATAGAGGTATATTCTTTATTGCTGGGAATGCCTATTTGTGTAGAGCTTCTGGGCTGGCTTGTCTTTGACACCTACTTCCGCGTGTCAGACATGGCAGGTCTGAACTCCTATGGAAACAATTAGGCTGACTTGGCAGTGAAAAACCTCTGCTCCCTTTGATGTGTACTTAAGAGAGGAAAATGTCCTTTGCTTTTAAAAATCTCAAATCAACATTTGGCCTTCTCAATCCCCAGGGGTTTGGCTGCTTGCTCCTTGAATGGAAGACTCTGGGCTGCCGATGACAGGCCTTCTCTTGGCTCTATAGCATGGCCTCACCCTTCCACCTACACAGCTCTGCCATTTTCTAGTTTGGTTTAAATCAGCCAGACAGTTCAGTGTTCCTAAATGTGTTTCTTTTTGATGTGTTTATTTCTTGATTCAAATGTTCTTTTCTCTGGAGCCACTAAATTTCAGAACAGGCAGTATCATATAATGTATCCTTGGGTTCAATCCATTCATGTTACCAATGAGAGACTTAGAGAGAAGTCCTTCCCATGGAGAATCAGCAAGTCTCCTGTACTTAAAGGCATTCCTTGACTTAGTACCAAGGATTTAGCTGTCTTTAAGTAAACCCCTTCAAGAATAGATATCAAGATCAGCTTCTGTTATACTTCTATTTAAGGTGTTTTAGAGTCTATTTTATAAAAAGAAGTCTTGCTCTGTGAGGTCTCTGAATCTCCAGACTCTTACCATATGATGATCTATCTGGAACACATCATAGATTGCATTTCTTAGCACATTTGGGTTCAAGTCACACTTAGCTTTTCTCTTAGTGGGTAACCCAAGACTGCTCATATAATATTTCTAGGCTTACATTTCTGCATCATTTCATAGGTATTAAAATATATAATCTATTCAGTTAGGGAGTTATTAAAAATGAGTTTGAGTCAAACACTGAAAATGGGTTAGCTCTTTCCTAGACAGACTCTGACCTAGCGCCTGTGGAGAAGTGTATTTCCTCATATAGGAAGACCTGTCTGATCCCCCTCATTGTACCTTTCTCTGCCTCTCAGGTAGGGCCAAGCATCACAGTGACATGTACAGAGGGCAAATGGAACAAGCAGGTGGCATGTGAGCCAGTGGACTGCGGTATCCCAGATCACCATCATGTCTATGCTGCCTCCTTCTCCTGTCCAGAGGGTACTACCTTTGGTAGAAGATGTTCCTTTCAGTGTCGTCACCCTGCCCAGCTGAAAGGTATTCTGAGTTGTTTATCTCAATCCTGCCTCCATCATCTCTGAGAACCTACAGGCTGTTGTCCAGCCTCTTTCTGAGTCTAAGGCACCATCAAGTAGATGGAGTTTTGTCTGTTCCTGGTTGCTTTTTAACCATTTACTACAAAGTCATGTAAACTATTTTATTGTGCAGCCAGGAATTTTAAAATATATGTATAAAAATGTATATGTATATAAAAATAGATATAAATACCCCTTCAAGATTTTTGAAAATCTTGCAAGAAGATGGTGAGGGAGGGGAAGAAAAAGAGTTATATTTTGAACTGATGTATCTCATTTACTGTGGATGCTTAAGACTCAGCAAACCTTGGGAGGTGTTATTAGTCTTTCAATTTTCCAAAGGAATAAACCAACTATTGGGGATTAAAGAACTAGCCTAGTTTTGTCATATTAGTGATGGAGACCATGTTGTAACCGGGGTCTGACTTTCCTCAATGTCAACTATATTCTTTACAAAAAGAGACTGGGTATGGAGAAAAGCAGGTGTGACCAGCAAGCATCCAGCGTCTCTGAAACTGAGCAATAGGAATATGAAGGTGAAGAAGAGGCTACATTTTAGAAAGGGGCAAGAAACTGGCCTGGAGGCACATAGTGTATTTCTAGAACTGGAAATCTTAAAATAAGTCTCAGAGCCCATCCAAAACAATTAGAAATACCGAAGACCCAAAGTACATCAAGAAAGGAGGAAATATTACAGAGCTCACTAGCAGCAATTTCTAACTAAATTTTGGATATATAAAAGTTCTATCCTCTACACGATTTGTTAGCCAAAGCATATTTCTTTCTTAAATATCAATTACAATAACTAACTTGGTTGTAGAGTCTTATATTTTGGCCTAGCATGCCAGAGTGTGTTATGTTGTAGGTGGGGACTTTGGGAGTATGTCCCTGAATTCTCTTAATAACAGATAAACTACTGTGTATTGTTAAGATTTAAATACTGTAGTGAGCATCAAGAATATCATCAGTTTTGCAAAAGGAGACTGACCCCAAAGGTTATATAAACTCACAGACTTTGGAGGTAATGGCTATGTGGTCAGAAGCTCAGGAAATGATCTGTACTAAAACATAATAAGAAGTATTGATTGAGTACCTGAATGTTGTAACGAGAAATGAATACAAGAATATAAGACCCAGTTTTAGTTATAAGCTGCCCCTTAAGAAAAGCAGGAACTGCAACTGGTCTACATCCCATAGCTCCTCCTCTTTTCCTATCAAAGATGATTTGAATAAGAGAGATAGAGAATTTTCATTTGAGATACTATGAAGTTTAAAACTAAAGAGAAGAGGGGAAGAAAAGAGTGAAACTATGAAAGGATTGTCCCAAGAGGCGGCAGCCAAAGGCTGAGAACCCCTTATAAAAGCTAAGCAATCCAATTCCATTACATGGCTCTGTCTGTCAATAGGATGAAAGGTGTATTAATAACAAGAAAATCATACTTCTCTTAATTAGAGGCCAATGAAAAAAGAAGCCAAATAAATTAGCATTGTTTATTAAAGCTTTCAGAATGGCAAATCCTTAAGCAAATCCTTCTGACACCGTTTATGTGGCTATGCATGAAAGGAATGGATATTACTATAGAAAGTGCTCTCAGGGGTACCCTTACTTTGACGTGTATTGATTCCTATTGTGCTGGTCTCTTGAGAATTCAGGAAAACATCTTTACTTTCCACAGTGACCTGTGAGGACCAGGTGGTAGTCCATGTAGCTTTGTTATCAGCACTATCTTAAACACAGATCCTTGTTCTGAGGTTTCCACTTGCACCTGCTGGCAGCAAGGACTGGATGAGTTGCAGTCACACTTTGAGGTTCTAAATGGTACCTCACTTATACTATCTTGTGTATGTGTGTGTTGGGGGGGGGGTGTTGCAGGAAGTAATGACTATAGAATCAGAAAGTTCCATGTTGGATCCAGCAGAGATACTGGATGAATAACTTCCATATGGTGACATGCGTGTGCATAGACATATCACACAGATACGCATGCAAATAAGAAATAAACAAGATGCAGTAACAAGTTAAAAATAAGAAAGTCCAGATAGTACTGGTTTTGTCCTTTGCCAGCTCTTTGATCTTAGCTGAGCAGTGTCACTTCTATGAGACCCACCACAGTCCTACTTAAGAGATAAGCTGAGGAGTGTTCACTGTCAAAGAGCCTAAGTCTCACACATGCCTTCCTCCATCCATGTTTCCATAGAAGTAAGCAGTGTTCCAGATTCTTTTATTTCCCATCTTAGGAAGGATTTTCCATCATTGATTCCTGAAAACAACTGTTTCATAGGACATTCTTCTTTCTCTTCATTGAATATTTGGAAAGAAAAATGGGTTACCTTAGTAAAGGAATCTACATGTGAGGTGAGGAGTTGAGTGGGTGGTAGCATCCTACCATGTAGCTGATCTTCCACTGATCTGAACTCTTTACTCCATAAGCCTTTCATTGACTACAGCTTTGGAGTTTTCCTTTGGACAGATTCATTAGTAGGAGTTCCAGTGTGGTTGAAAAGTCTGACAGACCTTCTGGGAATGCCAAGTCTGACGTAGCTTTAACTTCTTGGGAACCCAGTAGCCTAGAGATACACATTTAGAAGATCAGCTGTTTCTTTTGTTACCCGTATAAATCCTTCATCTTCTTCCTTTCTTTTTCAAGGTCAATACATGGCTGAGACTCTCATGGGTTATTTTTGAGAAATCAACCTAAAATTCTTTGTGACCACATTCTCATTCTCTCTCTCTCTCTCTCTCTCTCTCTCTCTCTCTCTCTCTCTCTCTCTCTCTCTCATTGTACCATTTCTTCTGTAACTTCTGTTACTGTCTGTTCCTCACCAAGAACAATGAAAGGGAATATCCTTGCAATCTAGCAGTCATAGCCTTAGGCTAATGCAGTCTTTGGAAGGCTTGCTTGCCTATATTCTAGTCTAGCAAACTGAATTTCTATTCTCTGCAAACTGTGGGGGATCAGCATCCTTTCACATCTTAAAATGCTCAACTTAAAAAAGTTGACTAAGAACTCAGAATTTTTGATTAGGATAGAGTGGCTGAATAACTCTTTCAAATTCACACATAAATTCATAATGCTTCATTCATGAAACAAATGGAAATTGGAGAACTACTATATACTTGACAGTAGGCTAGGCTCTGGGAATAAAGAATGAGCAAAACATAGCTCCTTATCTTAGGACCTCAACAGTGACCACACCATAGAGCAAACATGAAAAAGACAAAACAAAACCAAACAAACCAAAAGCAACAAAATAGATTGAAGGATGACACTTCACTTCGTGATTCTATTCTATGACAATTTCACTGCAATGTTTCCATGCACACACTCTGATGCCATGTATTTTGAGGAAACAATGCGATGCTTGGATCCACGTATAAATTGTGCCTTGATCAAAATAGGTTTAATGGTCTACCAATTGCTTTAACCATTTACAATTTCCTTGTGGTGAGAATCTTCAAAATCATTTCTTCTCATTATTTTGAAATATACAGCATAGCATTATCAGCCAGAGCAACCCTACTGTGCCTTAGGATCCAAAAAACTAACTTTTTTTGAAAGCACTCTCAAAGGGACTTGGTCTAATGTATAATATTTTAAGTAAGGTAATCACAATGAACACTACTCTTCTGTCACTACTGAATGCTTGTAGTTCTTTCATGCATGCTTGTGAGAGGAATTTCCTTAAACACATTTGGAAACAGACTAAGCAAGACTGATTTGTTGACTTTAAAAGATCATGCATACATACATACATACATATACGTGTGTAACAATAATTAATGAAAACATGCCATTATTTTGAAAAAGAGCATGGAAGGATATACATATACAGAGTATTGTGGGGAGGAAAGAAAAAAGGGAAATGATATAATTATGTGATCATCTCAAAAATAAAAGAAATAGTTAAAATTAAAGCTTGATGAGGTGAACAGTGTCTTGAAAGATGGATCAGGCAACAATACCAATCAATCAGAGCTCCCAGGGTCTAAACTACCACCCTGAGAGCACATAGAGAGGAACCATGGCTCCAGCTGTATATGTAGGGGAGGATGGCCTTGTCAGGCATAGGTAGGAGAGGAGGTCCTTGATCCTGTGAAGGCTGGATGCCCCAGTGTGGGGGAATTCGAGATCCGGGAGGTGGAAATGGGTGGGTGGGGGCACATCTTCATAGAAGCAGGAGGAAAGGGGATGGGTTTCTGGGTGGGGGGAAGTGGGATAACATCTGAAATGTAAATGGAATATCCAGTATAAAAAGAAAGATAGATCAGTTAAGAACATTTCCTGCTTTTGCAGAGGACCCAGATTAGATTCCCAAAACCTACATAATGTTTCAAAACATCCATAATTCTAGTTGTAGAGGATATAATACCCTGGTCTGTCCTCAATGGACACTAGGGATACACATCATACATATATATACATGCAGGCAAAAACTAATACAAATAAATTAAAATAGAATTAACATTGTATTTATTTACAAACATAAAAATAAATAAGCCTTACAAAATTAAAAACAATAAGCAAACGAGATGACAGAGTACCCCAACTAGTGAGAACCTACCTAGTGTCTGATATCCATACTCTCATACTTTGCTAGAAATGTCAGCCTCACTTCATTTTATGACTTAAGTCACATTCTCCAGAAAGCACAAATGGGGGAATATGAAGAGGGAAGACATGGTACTGACGAGGGTATAAGTGTCTCTTCTACAGCCAGTTAACAGTGGAAAGAATGAGAGCTCATTGTCTATGAGGAACTTGGAAGGACAGATTCAAACATGCCTGAGTGGTCAAAACTCTAAATAGTCTCTAAGTCCTCCAATATTGATTGGTTTAATGCTGATACCAGCAGCATTCACTCTATGTTCTTTTGGGCATGTTTTAAAAGCAAGTATTTGTGATCAAAAACAAAAAAACAAAAACAAAACAAAAAAACCTCAGTGTAGCAAACATCCTTCGGAGTATATGGGCCATTGTCAAAGGCCCAGGGTGCATATGCCTTACAGTGCTTTCTTCAGAGTTACTTGGTAGATGCAGGAGGAAGGACTGATGGCTAGGGACTGGAAAGCCTGATCCTGTAGAGTCCATTGCCTGTACTTCTAGGTTGGTTGTGAGGGTGGGGAACATATCCACAGCTCTGAATCACAGTCCTGCTCTACTCCGCTCATTCGTTCAGCACTGTCTAATAGCGCCTATTTGCTCTCTCCTAGAATGGCAATTTTCTGTTTGATTCTTTCCTCTTGGTTAACATTCTGCAATCCTCATATCATCTCACAACAAAGAACTATGTTCTTCGTTTCACAGTTTATAGCATTCGTAGCTGATACAGCCCCAAAAACTTTGGTAAATGCACTTACAGTTTAGGAGTGGATTTTTTTTTAATCACCCTTGAGCAATTTGGAAAGGGCACCATTCTTACCAAACTACTGATACATCTGACATTCTCAGAAACTTGCCACAATAATTAATACCCACAACAATATAGGGAAGTTCCTGTCTCTGTTGCCCTTTGCTTTGATGAAAGCTCAATGAATCATCCTTTCATCCTTTTCTCTATCTATGGGCTGAGAAAATATTTAGTTACAGCATTATAGCTTACCAGGTAGCATTTTCTGTGGGATTTGGTAACACTGTTGTCTCATGCCATCCAGATGAACCACACTGTCAAGGCAGTGAATTACAGGAAATTAAGAGACTCAGAGTATTATACATAAAATTGCAAAGCAATTCTCTTGTCTTCCTTCTTTCTTCGCTTTATCCTAGGTAGTACTTGCCACTACTTTCGAGAATTCATATTTGATGACAATTTGTCATGCGCCTTCATATACTATTAGATAACAAGCACTGCATGCATGTTCTTTTTGTCTCGTTTTATTCATTGCTTTGCTCCTAACATATGAAGTACCTGGCATGCCACAAACACTAACCAGATGTTGACTAAAGAATTGTCAGTCTCTGTGCATCTCACCTGTGTCCTGTCTGACGTTCTTCTGTAAGTGTGATATTAACAGAAAGGGAGGATGGCAGGGTACAGGTGAATGAGCAAACCAGGACATTGATGACACTTTGATACACACTTTTTAAGAATGTCGCTGTCATTTAATCTGAATTTTGGAAAGGAAAAAAAAACAACTCCATTCTTCCTGTGGATACAAAAATTAAGGTTGGGCCATCCTGCATAGAAAAGAAAAAGTTTTGCTGAACATATAGACACACCTCTTATTGTATAAACAACTCTACCTGTAGTTAGACAAACTTGGTTTTGAACATTTGTCTGTTACTATTCACAAGTTGTAAGAGCTTGATCAAGGTATCCCCTCCTTTTGCGAATGAGAACTAGCATGCTAAGCACATGTATTTCAAAAGCACTCTGTGCATAGTAACTGCTCAATAAATGTCAGTTTGCTTCCTGTCACTGATGGTCTCCCGACCCTGCTTCGAATCCAGAGACTTCCATCTGCTTCCAGCACTGGCTACAAACCCCATTTGGTATCAGCCAATCAGAAGAGAGTCAGTGGAGAAACACCTGCATGTCCTCCTCTAATTGTCTTGGGTCTGGGAATGGCTGTGCCTTCATAATACATGAGCTGGCAATGAAAAGCCTAGCTTCTAGCTTTGACTTTTATCTCCACTGACCCCCATCAGGCACGTATCCTGAAGGCAATCAGCACTCTGTAAGAGCTGGCTGGTGCTTGTGGCAGGAAGTAATGCTTTCTCAGCTTCTCTGGCAGAACTTCCCTGAGCACTGGGATCTGAATTAAAAAAAAAAAAAACCCTCCTGAAAAGATGGTATTGTCATATCCAGGCATGAAGAAGCCAGGACAGGTACAGGGTTCAGCCCCATAAAGATCCCTGTTAGTGGAATTGACACCATTTAGGCTGGTCCCACTGTCTCAGGCAAAGACATACACCTTCAGGGGACAGGGATGATGCAGGCCCAGGAAGAGGGTTTTTCCCCCCTATGCAGCATATGAGGTGCAGAATGGTTTGGGTTTTAATGCACTGTAAAAACTGGCTAAGCCTACCTTCCATGGCTGCCTGCTTTGCAATAACTGCCCAGCACATTCCAGAGACACTGAGTTCTTAGAGGAAGGCATTAGAATTCTAACCAGAGATCCCAGGAGACCGCAAGTTGGTGAAAATCCAGGCAGCTCATGTGTTATCTTAGCTGTCAGGGGACCCATTCCTCTGCTAACCCTGTCTGCCTGTGTCTTCCAGGCAACAACAGCTTTCTGACCTGTATGGAAGATGGACTGTGGTCTTTCCCCGAGGCCCTGTGTGAGCTCATGTGCCTCGCCCCACCCCCAGTTCCCAATGCAGACCTACAGACAGCCCGGTGTCGAGAAAACAAACACAAGGTGGGCTCCTTCTGCAAGTACAAGTGCAAACCTGGATACCATGTTCCTGGCTCATCTCGGAAGTCCAAGAAGTAAGTGCTGCTAGGAACATACTCATGGACTTTAAGACGGGGAAGAGTCAGATCTGGCCACCTCTTTGGAAGGAAAGATTTCCAGCTTTGCTGGAGGCCAGACCAAGTAGTATCCCATTCTGTCCTATAGAAAAGACATGGAAGAGTAGGTATTTCATCATGGTAGTGGCTTATTTTTCTCAGGCCTCCTGTTATTTTGGCAGCAGTATGAAGACTGTAAGTTACCACACAGTGTTGGCATAATGCAGAAAAAGTTGCAAAAATGCCTTGCACCTAGTACTTGCTCAAGAAATATTGAGTACATCACCATTGTACAGGCACCCATCATGACACACTGGAAGGAAAAGAGGAGACAAGGGGTTGATGGGGGTTCACTTTTGTCCCAAACCACATTTGAATGACAACCTGCCTACCTCCAACAATATTGTTCAATGGATATAGTTTCCTTTATTCTTTATTATTATTATTATAGGTTATAATATAATTATACCATTTCTCTTTCTCTTTCCCTTTGATCTCTCTAAAATCTGCACTTGTTATATTCCCTGGCTCTTTTCAAATTTATGATGAATTATTTTTAAAATACATTTGCATATATATATATATACATACATACATACACATACACACACACACACACACATAAATATGGTCTGTTCAGTTAATATAACATTACATACCCACATCTCTATCTATGTTTCTATCTGTATTTATAGAAGGAAGACTATTTCTCCTCCTCTCAGCATTCTTTAGGTCATAAGCCTTCCCTTTAAATGTTAGCAGTCTATTGGTGCTGTCCTTGTTTATGACATATTTAGGCAACCCCGTTGATGGGAGTTCATGGTGCTACCTTGATATTTCTAGGAGACAAAAATATGATAGCAAACTTCTTGTTCCCCTCATTTTATAGTCTTCCCTTCTCTGATTCTGCAATGATTTCTGAGCCTTAGATGTAGGAGTTGTGTTGTTGTTATATCACTTGGTACTGGCCTCCACAGCACTGCATTGTGGCCAGTTGTTGCTTTCTGTAAGGGTCTCCATCATGCATGTCTCATGCATCCCTCATACAGGCAGAAGATTAGGAATACGAAGACAGTGGTAAGGTAGACCCTGTTAGTGCTCAGGTTCAGACTATGTGATCCTGACAATGACTATTCCTTCATCTTTCCAAAAGACGGGCCTTCAAGACTCAATGTACTCAAGATGGCAGCTGGCAAGAGGGAACTTGTGTGCCGGTGACTTGTGACCCACCTCCACCCAAATTCCATGGGCTCTACCAATGCACTAATGGCTTCCAGTTCAATAGTGAGTGTAGGATCAAGTGTGAAGACAGTGATGCCTCCCAGGTAAGCCCACTGAAACCTGAGGTTCTGGCCTTCTTCCCCCTACTCTACTTATCAGCTGCTATCTCCAGGGCTCTATCTACACAGCCAAGCTTATAAAACGATAATAACACCATTGTAGAAGTTGAGAACCAGGATTTCCAGTATCTTTTTTTGTAAGATCTCTGAGCCGTATTTTCTCTCTACAGGCTCTATTCAGGAATTTTTAGCTTTGAGGTTATTTTTTAAGCAGTAAATCTATTAGATACTTATTTAGAAATGTTTAAAGAAACACATGTATGTCCTCTTCGTAGTAAAGATTCATCCATTACATCATTCTGATAGGAGTGCCTGAGACTTTGATCAGCTCTGCCCACTTCCTACTACCTACATTTTTCTTAAAGCTTTTATAGACACTAGGCAGCCATCAGACATCAGCTGGCTCTGGAAGTCTATAGACAGGGTTTTCATAAGGTTGGGAGAACACTCTAGAGTACAGTGTAGAACAAGGAGAACAGAAGGGACCAGCATGGGTGTGAGTTTTATGTCAATCCATATGTAACTAAAGAGTAAGTCTGTTGCTCCTGCCTGCCTATACTTAAGGGACTTCATGAAAAAACATACTTCAGCCTTTATATCCAACCTCTGCTACCCAGTCAGACAAGTAGGGAGGCACAAAAGCAAAATGAAAGTTGAAAAGAATGCAGAAGTCCACAGAATCCCCATTTCCACAGAACCCACCATTCAGATTTGATGGGTCAACTCTGCCACTCATGGGTGTGCAAGGTTCACCAGCCAGGTGAAGCTGGAATATAGCTACCTAGACTTCTCAGGGTTGAAGTCTTCGCTGTTCTTTATTTCTTAGCCTCCAAATAGCAAACACTGCAAAACTAACAGCCTTAGCACCTCTTTCTTCCTATTCCCACATTTAAACTATTCCCAGGCATACCCAGTCTTCCCAAAAAATACCTCCTAAAGCTGTTCCCTCTGTACCCAAAGCAACCACTCTAATAACAGGAAAAAAAAGTCATTTTTTCCCCACAGTGCAGCCTCTTGATCATGTCTTTTTCTTTTTCTTTTTCTTTTTTTTTTTCATCTCAAGTCTCTGGCTTCAAGCCCTTCTAGACCACAGCATCTTTTTGTTTCTTTGGTATACAATTCAACCCTATTTAGGCATTATTTCAGACTCCATCTCCACTCGAACCAGGTTCCTATCCTATCTCTGAATCTATGGTAAGCTCTTCCCTCATTTGGTTCTGAGGTCTGACTACTTGTCTTCCACCCCTCTAAGAAGCAGGACTTACAGTATCTTCTTTGTAAGCTCTCCCAGCTGCATTTTCTTTCTGGAAGCCTATTTTATTTAGAGATTCTTAGCGTTGAGTAATCCCTCCTCTAGGAGGCCTCTTCAAGTCTCGTCCACTCCTGGACTCAGCAGCGCCTCCCTCCTGTTATCAACTCGTAGCAGCAGCCACCATGCTAAGCCTCTAACTTACTTCACAGTGGTCCTATAAAAGGCTGTAAAGTCTTCCACTGCCTCTTCCAATAACTCTATGCCTTCAGCACTTAGGATAGTGCCAGGCACCTAGTAGGTCGGTAGGAAGTGACAGTCTAATTAGGAACCTGGTGACTCTTCTGTGGATAGGCTGACTTTAGTTGGCATTGCTTCCAATCCTTGAGCATCATATATTCACATTTTCTAGGGCTACTAGACAAATAGAGTGCTGGTGGTCACTCCTGGGAATTGCTCCTGCCAATCATGTGGGTCCTCCAACATCTAGGAAGGAGAAGTCCTGATAAAAGCAAGGACCAAGACTGCCATGGCCTCTTCAAAGACTAATCAACTTCCCTTTTGCTCCCTCACATGAAACTGTTGCTAACAGTTATCCCTGAGCCAAATAATATTCTGGCCATGGCCATGTTATCAAACTGAAACCCAGTCTGCCTGCTGCCTGCCAAGTAGCTTTCATGGGCAGTTTGTATTTAAAGGAGAGGAAAATGTAAATTCATCAGAGGACTGGAGTGTTGCTGTTTGGCAGTGGGTGGAGAGGCTAGACTCGAAGGAGCAGGGTATGGCTTGTCAGCTCAAAGAATGAGGGTGTGTGTGCCAAATGGGCTCTTTACACAATTGACGTTTCTAGTTTGTACTAAGAATGAATTTCCTCTACCCTCAGACCAAGGGCCTAAGAGCCAACGCCAGTGTTCACCTCAGATTCCCTCTCACTGCCTGTAAACACAGCAGGAACTCAAGGCCCATGCTTTTTGAATCCCATGGCTTATATAGAGCAAAGTTTCTTAGCTTTCCAAACAAGTTACAGATCCTGGCAAAGAAGGGCAGAGGCTACTACAGGGGAGAGTCATAAACCCCTTCTACTGCTACTACTGGCAGAATTTTAAAACTTCTACTTCATTGAGTCCTCCAAGGGAGCCAGTAGGATGTGAGATCTGAGTTCAAATACTGACTTTACTACCTTACCTCGCGACTGAGGAACAAGTTACTTAACCCATCAAGCTTCAGTTTCCCTGTGTGTAACATATGGAGAAACAATAAAGCCTGTCTCACAATTTATTGGTGGAAGCAGGGAATAGATGCGGGTAAACCCAGAGATGTGCGGTAAGGGGTCCTATGCCACAGTAAGTAGTAGCCCCCAGGAAGACACCAATAGACTAGCCTGGTTTTATGATCATAAGCAGTAGAGCAACCTCTGATTCTGATTTAAGCTTCCATAAAGCCCCAGAAACACAGGCAACAGGTTGAAAGATAGCCCTATGATGGTTACCTCCCCAACGTCCCAAAAGTGGCACTTATCCATATAATCTGTGTGCAAACTTCTTATCTCGCCAAAATATAATCTGTGTCTACCCGATCTATTCTGTGTCTCCAGACACAGGTAACTGAAATATTTAGACTATGGTTATAATATCCATGTAGTTAAATATTAAACCACACTTAATATTACAACATTTTCTTTAAAATGTGAGGTGTACATGTTAGTGCCTGTAATTAATCCCTACTTGTGGGAAGTGGAGGCCGAAAGATTAACAGTTCAAGGCTAGCCTTAGCTACACAATGAGTTTGAGGCAAGCCTTGGTTACATGAAACATGAGACCTTTTCTCAACCACGTTATTTTACCTATTTGTATTTTGATACACTATCTCACTGTGTAGTCCAGACAGGCCTCCTTGACCTCATGCCAACCCTTCTTCCCTTGACTCCTCAGTGCTGCGATTTTAGGTGTGAGCCACAGAGTTCGCATTTAAAGGTACATAGTCCTCCTTATACTTACATATTTAACATTTCAGTTCTGATATTTGTAGTGCTCCTATCCCACTAAATCATGTTGGAAAGCCTAGATAATCATAACATTGATTTCTAATGTGAGGATTTTAAGGGAGCCAGGCTGGTGTCAACAGACCTTTTATTTATTTGTTTTTCATTCTGATAGTTTAAAACAAACACCCCCAAAAGCAACCATCTCCCCACTTACAGACACAGAAGAAAGGCCTACAGCATCTAAATCTTTGCCTATAACTCTGAGTTTGTAGGTGGTATTGAGACAATATTATCAGCCGTACTCAGATACTTCTAGGGCAGGCTGGTGGCAAGGGGTGAAGTTTGCTCTCCAGACAGCTGGCAAGAAGCGAGAAGTGCTAATCCTCTCTAGATTTAACGGGATGTAGAAGGTATTGAATGTGTGGAGAGATAATGTAGTCCCAGGACATAGTGAAAAGCTCTGCAGGACTTTTGCATCTGATTAGAGGAGTCTTTGGATAGGATCAGGGTCTATGGCAGACACTTGAAGCAGGAGAGGACAAAGGCTAAGTGCTTCATGGGCCAAATAGTACATCTAATAGTGGGTTTCCAGAACTCAGCAGGAGTTCCTGGAAGAAAAGAAGGAGAAGAGTAGAATCAACAGCATACCCATTTCCTTGCAAGAAAGACAGATGGTGGCTATGTAGTCCTTTCTGCAACGATAGCACAGAGCTGGCTCAAATTATACTAGCTCTTCCATGGACACAGAGTTCCATGGTTGTGCACTCTATGGGTGTAGAAACAATATCTTGTTTCAGGGTTACCTTGAGAAAGAAAGAAAAATTGCAGAATCATGTGCCATTAGAGTTTGGCAAATGCTCAGAGATTGTCATGTAATCCACTTAGCTTACAGATGGCTCTACTGACACCCGGAAAGGAAAGCCACACAAGTTACCAGCAGAGCCGTGTCTCAAACCAAATAATAGCACAAGTGATCTCTTTCCAGCCCACCATTACTCCTGGAGATGCTCATGACATTTGCATGGCTGCTTCATGATTGTTTCACATGAATACATTCGGTATTTCTGTTCTACTTACACATGCAGACATGGAAGGCTTTTTTTGGGGAAGGAGGTGCATGCTGTGTTATGCAAGTAGGAAGGAAAGGGTTAATATAGACTTCCATAGCTGATGCTCAGCCTGTCCCCTGCCACTTGGGTGACTTTGAGGCTTTAAAAACCCTCTATCATGGTTAGCCTTAATTTTTCTTCTACCCATTGTCTTTCTCTTTCCCATTTGTTTGTTCCTTTTCTACTGCAGGAAAGGGTTGCCTTGATTCTGGAGTTCCTTAGAGACAGTGATTACAGCAGGGAAGTTAGGAGCCATGGTCACGGTTAATGAATAGCTCTGTGTATGCATGTTAGATCTTAAACATTTCTATAAATTGACCACTTGGTTGTCATGATGACTCCTTTAGGCCGAAGACTCCATGCCCCTTAGCAGCTGAAAAAACTGAGGCACAATTCCATGAATAAACTCTCTCAGGTCCCAGAGTTGAAATATTGTAGAGCTGACATTTGAACTGGTGCAGAGGTAACCATCACTGTAGACTCCATTGGTTGTTTCTTTCCTATAGTGAGCCTCAGTTTTCAGATTTGATATAGGATACAGTTTCTCCTCCACCCAGTAGTTAAAATGATTCTTTAGAACAGTGAGCATGTCGTAGTTCCAATAATATAGTTGTAAACAGCCTCAGCTCTGTGTGTCTTTCTTGGCTAAAGGAATAGGGGGTATAAAGAGAGTGGAACATGACTTTTATAGACATACATAAGCACAGAGAGGAATGCTGTTTTGGTGAAGGATGCACAGTCCTCTTGTTTCAAATTTTACTTTAGCAGGTAAAGTCATGTCTTGTGCTGAGACTTGGCTTGTACATTTGGAATCAAACACACTCAGTTGGTTTGGTTCCCTGACAACACCCACAGAAGTAGTGCTCTCAGATTGGATGCTCAACTACATTGGCTCATCTGTGCTCAAATTAGACAGTGCAGTCAGCAAGGATATCCTCATTGTCAGATGGTCAGCAAGTGCTGAGCACAACAGGAAGTAGCCCTAGCAGAGACTAGAGCATCTAGAAGCTCCAGAAAAGCTGCCATTTAGAGGAAACAGCACAGGCAAAGGTGTGAGGCATGACAAGCCAGAGATGCAGGCAGGGGGATGATGTGTTTACTTGAGTAGAATGAAGGGCACATGAATACCCAAGAGGTGGGGCTAGAAATCTCTGCGTTCCATATGGACACTATGGGAGTGCTAGCCCACATACTTGCCTTCTTCTGAAGGCTAAAGTGTCTTAGCAGGTGGGTGCCATATTTCAAAAGCAGATTTAGCCACAGAAAGCACCAGATGAACCAAGCAGGAGAAGGAGAGAGAGGCGGGAAATCTTGAGAATATAAGACCAGTACCTTATGTTCCCACCTTCCACAGTGAGGCCTCTGGGACTTGAAACTCCCTGAGTAAATTCCAGTTAGCTCTAATACATCCTCTGCTGCAAACCTTTCTCCTCAGCCAACTCTGGCCCACGTAGTGCTGAGGTCTGCAGGCCTTGAGAGGCTGGAGGCCAAATGCATCATAGTCCCAGGCCAAGGATCCAGGAAATTGGGGTCAATTTCCTACTCCCCTGAGGACCCAGCAGGATCATGGGGCTTAGAGCTTGGGGCTCTAAGAGGGAGAGTCCAAGATCTCCAAAGTCCCAAGAAACTGCATAAGCTTGCCACAAGCCCACAACAAGCCACTGAAAGAGGCCCTCTTAGTTTCTGCATAACTGCAAGCTCAGATGGGCCACATTCTCCCATAGGGAGGGGCTTCTCTTGTAGTGCTGCCTACCTCCTGCTGGCCCAGGGCAGACCTCAAGAGGGGCCCCTTTCTCTTTTCAGTCCTGATTCTAAGCAGCTGGTGTGTGTGTGTGTGTGTGTCTGTGTGTGTGTGTGTGTGTGTGTATGTGTGTGTGTGTGTGTGTGTAAAGACAAGGCAGCATCAGCTCATATCAACCCTTTCACATTTTATCTCCCAGACATTCATTATTTTTTATTCTCTCATTAATTTGTTAAGACATTTATGCCTTTATTTTTTCTGGCCATGCATCCATTTATTTCCTGATTAGTTAAAAAAAATTTACATCCTCATCCCAAGCAACTAGTCTCAATGAACAAAAGCATCTGCAGAAAGGCGAGCGATAGACTGAGTGGCCTACATTACTGGCAGGCTTTGAAGACACAGAGATGAGTCAAGGAAATATCCAGGCCCCTGCAGAGCCTCTTGACCCACCCGGAAATGGTAGTTCTCCACTTGTTCTCGAGTGGAATCCTGTCTCCTGAAGCCATCAGCAAAGATTCACACCTGCTGCCCTCTGCTCTCCTTTACCCCTCCCTCAAGTCACAACAGCACCACATCTCCCTCAGTCACGGTTACTGCACTGTCCTGCATTTGTGTGTTAGCTTCTCTCTTCCAGGAATGTCCTTCCATTCTTTTTTGCCTTCTGGAAGCCCCATCCAACTTCTGGTCTGATATGGTTTCACATGTTGAATGGATCGTAAAGAAAGGGTATATATTCAAACTGCACTCTCCTACTTGCTTATGGAAGAATGAGGAATGATCTGTTTCTTACCTTAAAAAACCAAGAATAGAGTTACACATACCCCCCCTCCCCGAACCCTCTTGTGGTCAACATGGCTGGAAGAACTGTGGAAGAGAAATCTTCTCACCTGGAATGCTTTTTTGTGGTCTAAAAAGAAAGTGCAGTGCACAGCTACCCTTTTTTATAACTGCCCTGTCTGACTCTTACATTTTATTGTCTGTATAGGAAGAGTAGATGGTGGGTCTCTGACTTCTCAATAGAAAGAGCAACAACATACAACAAATATAAGGCCTAATTACTCCAGTTGGAATTTCCCAAAGACCATTAGTCTAGAAATTAGTAAACCCTGGAGTTAGTCTGGGAAGACTGGAGCAAGCTTCTTTTCCTCTGAGTCCTCAGTTTCTCCATAAGATTCTAACAATACCCTTATTTCAAAATGACTGGGTTATTAGTAACAAGTTATTTTGGAACAATTTTTAAGCCTTTGGGGAAACGGCACAATGTTTCATCTTTAATTCTGAGATGCATGTCCTTTGTGCAGCTGGAGTCTATCATGTCCTAAGTGTGTTTCTCTGGTGTTCAGGGCCGTGGGAGCAATATCATTCACTGTCGGAAAGATGGCACTTGGAGTGGTTCCTTCCACGTCTGCCGAGAGATGCAAGGCCAGTGCTCAGCCCCAAACCAACTCAACAGTAACCTCAAATTGCAATGTCCTGATGGCTATGCCATAGGTAAGATGGGTCTAGATGGGGAACAGTGGCATATACATGACCATCTATGAGCCTAGGCTAGTGCCTGGTACATTTCTAAGTTTATATCCATATGAAACCTGACTCTGTGAGGGAGAGAGAGAAGAATGAAACAAACTCTATCTTTCAACCAATGAATTCGGGAACAGGATCCAGTTTGTACTATATAATATATGACCTGCAGATGTGCAAAGCTGTGGTACAGAAAAGCTATTAATGAGGAACTAGGACAAAGAAGTGCCCAGAAGAACTGATGCTTACCCACAGATTTGCTAGACTTTGTCACATTTTCTAGGGAGAAGAAGTTGAAACCAAGAGACCAATGAACAGGAAGTATGACAGCATACAGGATCCACTGTGGCTGTTTTCATGATGAATTATAGAATATACCTCATGCAGAGCACTCAAGGGCATTTGGTGCTGGTCAAACTCTGGTTCCCAAAAGGGCATTATTAGTGATCGTTTTATTCAACTTTAACAGATGAGAGTTAAAACCGTGAATGTTCAAGGGAACTTGACCAAGTCCTGAGGTTTTGATTTACTCCAAATGCTCACCTCTCTTTTTGGCTGCCTTTAGAGAATAAATGGCTTTTTCAACCTTCAGTTTGTATGTGTGTGCATGGCTTCTGTGAGAAAACTTAGAGCATATAGAACCTAACTTAAGGGCATCTTATCCCATTAAGATGATTCCCTAATTAATCAAAGTGGGATTTCCAGGGAATCGAGTGTCCTTACTCAGGGCCAATGTGATTTTTAGGAATATTTCTGGGGATGTCTGGCACAAAAGGTCATCTGAAAATATACAAAACCAATACATCCTTTATGAAGCATACTAGGAATTGTCACTGTGTGTCTAGGAGGAAAAATGTCTGTAGTTGGTCATAGAAAGTGTCTAGGGGCTGTCCATCTCTTTTTGAAGATTGAAACAGAAAGTCAGCAGAATTTGTTGCAATTTGAACTTAGAGCAAGCCCTAGCACTCCACATTTTTAACGGCACTAGCTCCTGCCAGGATCAAAATGCTGCAAGCACCCAGTATGCTCTCCCTGATCAAGATCTTATAGAACCACTAAGGGGGCCCAACCATAAGAATTATGGAGAAATGAGGACTTGTGGATCCTGGTCACATAATCATTCTAGACAGTGGAAGCAACAAGTGTCTGAAACAGTGGCTGCTCTATCCCAAGGCTAACTTTTCTTCTTTTCCATTATTCCTCATGGATGTGTATGTCTGTGAACACCTGTGACAGAACAGTCTAGAGACAGAGGAAAAGATGGACTGTGGTATTCATCACTCATTCAGTGGAACTTTTATACAGTCAAAGCAGGAAAGAGAGAAAATTTCTATGATACTAGTCTTATGTTGCTTTCCTGTTCCTTCAAACCCATGTTCCCATGGTAGCCTGAATGCTTATCCTATGGATAGTCCAAAGTTGTCAACCAGTGGGTGGAAGTCTCTAATAGGAAAGCTGAAAGAGATGGGGATATCATGAGAATACTGACAGCAGCAGAGAAAGAAAGGGGGATATCAGTTTTCCCTCTCTTATTCCTTTCTCTCTAGTAGCTCTCATTTATCCCCAGGAATTCCCTTTCCCTATGGAGAGGGGATTGTTTATAAACCCTGTATTAGGGCAACGTAGGGGTCAAACATGTGGCTGAAGACCCACCAGAAGTCACTCCAACCCTCTCTTGGTCCTTTCTCAAGAATTTGTACCTATCATGAGCTCCTGGGCAAGTCACTCCCTTCCTGGGAGGAAGAAGCAAGGGCCTGGTAAAATCAGCACTCAGTGATGATGCCAATTGTGGCTCATATATCACAACATTGCAGCTTGGTCCTGAGTCTGGCATGTGGGAGAGGAGCCAGAGCAAGAAATGACAGAAGAAACAGGCAGAGAGAGAGAGAGAGAGAGAGAGAGAGAGAGAGAGA